AGCTTATGGGGTTTCATATCAAACTATACAAGGACATTAAGGTTCGGTACGAAACTATTATATTTTGCTAAAGAACTCTGAAAGTTTGGTATTATGCTACGGAACCTGTTTTCGGTATGCTGAAGTGAAAAAAAGGTTTAGCAGTAGAAGGTTCTTCCCTCCGATACACGGGAAGATCCTTTAATGGTTCTGTAGAAATTTTTATTGCGTTTTTGTAATCGTGAACCTGTCTGAAGACTTTTTCGTAACCACGGAACTTTTTTTGAGGGTTCAGTAGAGCACTAATTTTGTTTAGAGTATTCTTCGCTTTTGCTCTTTCTCTATTCTCATTATGGTGCTTTTTTCTTATACAAAATTATTTTTACGTATTATTCATACATAAACGCTTTGTATTATGATTGTATTTACTTGTCCTATACTTGGCTTTTCTGAATCTTTTTTCCTTTGTATGTAGCATAGAAGAAAGTGCTCGGTATTACATGAAGCAGAAATGCGGTGGGATGTAACCCAGTAAATGGTGTCTATATGAAGAATAGTGATAACACAATTTCTCTGGTCCTCAATTCTGATCATAAGTTAAAGGACGGAATTGTAGCAGTGGTAGCGAAACATTTTTTTTTTTTTTTATTTTGAATTACGTATATTATTAATTTTATTCTCAAGAGTATTCTCTTTTTTTGAAGATCTTATATATGGGAAGTATCGTAGGCAATAATAAGGAGCAAACCCTTCGTGCAAGAAATGCTGCAGTGATATTAGTGTTGCTGTTGTACTGCTTCGCAGGTACGTTGCTAACAGTGGTCAACAAATTTGCCATTCGGATATTCCCTTATACAAACATTCTTTTGCTGATGCAAAATGGTGCAACTATCATATTCCTCGTGATCGGACTTTATTTTTTCCCTAACACATTCGGCACGTTTTCTACCATGACAAAAAATATTATATTAGTATGGACACCTTTAGTGTTCTTATTTGTGATTATGCTTACATCAAGTCTCAATGCATTATTATATACTAGTGTACCAACTGTTATTGTTATGCGTAACTTATCAACTTTGACTGTTGCGATTTTGGAATGCTTTATTTTGGATGGAAAAACTAACGCTGTCTCGATTGGCACATTAATCGCAATGCTCGTAAGTGCAATCCTATACGCACAGCACGACTTCACATTGAATGCTACGATTTACGCATGGTTATCTGTAAATATTTTTAGCACAAGCGCATATCAAGTTTACGTTAAAAAAATTGTTCATATGCCATCAATAGAAAATATTGGATCTTTAGGGATGGCTTATTATAATAATCTATTCTCTTTGCTACCACTTCTGATCCTCGCGGTGATAAAGGGAGAGGTGGCCATTTTATTAAAGGACTTCAATGCAGTATACTTTTTTCAGGCACATATAATGATTCCTATCGTGGCGTCTTGCATACTCGGCTGTTGCTTAAGCATATCAGCATTCAAACTAAATCATCTAATTTCTGCAACATCTATCATGGTAACAAACAATGTGAACAAATTCTCCGTTATTATCATAAGCGAATTGTGCATAGAATCTACGCTCGATGGAATTGCTTTTGTGAGCGCAGTGTTTGTTTTATTTTTTGGATGGTTATACTCTCAAACCACTAAACCTTATGCAACAAACCTATTTATCGCAGCTAGTATCATGCTTGGAGTTTTGGGTTCTTACTCGTTTTATAAAGCCAACAGCAGTCCTTTTCTTGAACATACATTGAATACCTCCTATAGAAATACTATTCCCGAAGATGCTAACGGAATTTACCGATCTTATCTTCCACCAATTATTCGACATAAATCGGCCTATCCTGTGACACCTTCGATTCAGATAAAAAATGTGACTGACTTCCAACTGCCAAGTATCTGTGTAAACAAAAGTGCAGCTATTTGGAACAAGTGCGATCCGCGACGCTGTGAACCACAGTTCAGAAACATAAAGTGGAAATACCCAACAATAACCAATATGGGAGAAAAGACGAGTGATTTTATCGATCGTGTCCTAAAAGTAGCTTGGGGATCCAATCCACCGTCCATTGATCTTTACCTACGTAGTGGATGTCATGGTATTATGGAAATGAGATACTTGTTTGAAAGTATTGAAATATTCTATCCTAAATTTTTAGGATCTGTCATTCTTATACTAGATGTTGGTGACGAACACATTGTGAAGAATATTTTAGTTCCGAACTCAACTCATAACTATATTGTCGGTTTTGAGCACGTACCATGCTTACCTGGAAGAGTTTTAAACCAGTACAGTTACTTATACCTAGATCGTTATTCTACCGCAGATTATGTGGTGACCATCGATAGTGATTGTGTGTTTCATTCACCTGTCACACCAGATTTGATTTTTCGTCAAGGGCGAGTGATATTGGCTTCCACACGCACGTTCGAATGGCAGATGTGGTACGCTAGTCTGGAGGCTATGATGGGACCTGGTATGTATGATGGGCACTATATGGTTACACAGCCGGTGACGTTTGCTGTATCAACTTTTCCCTCCTTTCGTCGTTGGTTCTATGAGGATAAAGGCAGATGTTATGAAGATCATCTTTCTCAACTAAACAAAAATCATTATCATACGTTCTGTTGGATGTGTCAACTGGGTTCATATTTAGAAAAAACACGTGCTGGCCAAAAAGAATACGATTTGTATTGGTATCAGCACATGGACCATCCGCAACTCGAACCGATACTACGGTACTCTGCTCATGTTCGCTACGAAGCATATGGTAAACCATTTTGTCCCGCATTCGAATGCTATGAGGAGACAGTAAATATAGTGTTCGGGCAAGGTTTATGTCGTGCTTTTGGGCCCTCAATATTTCATATATGTGCGAATCAATCGAATACAGATTACATCAACAACGTTACTTTCTTATATGTATATAACGAGATTCAAGCTGCGAACCAAACGGCACGTACGAATGCGCTTAGAGCTTATCTTGCACGGTTGTCCGCTGCAACACGATTTGCTTTAAAATTAATGTAAAAATAAATAAATAGCACACGTCGGGGCCATCTTGAGGGTGTGAGATATTACTACCATGACCGGTTTCGAACCTTTCATAGTTCGTTTTCAAATGGTTGTAAACTTGAGGGCGAGAACAGCTACCAAGACACGTGTTTCGACTCGGCTAAGAGTCTCATCAGTTGGCTTCAATCTCTAGTTCGATTCTAATGACTAGAATCAAGTCGAGATAATTTACAA